GTTTCTCCAAGCATTGGCTCATACCTTCATAACCTGTGTCTGACTACCCACACCTCCCTCCAGAGTCAAAGCGTTATTGTACGTTTTGGCACCGTTTCCTAAAGGGCTCTTCTATTCGTGTAGACAAGCAAAGCAAACAGGTCTCAGGCAGAATAAGGCAATTCAAAGGAAACTGCTTTGACAGTGTTCAAACCACTTGAGAGGACCTGCAGGGAGAGGGGTAGGACATTGTTTGTGTTGTGTGTATGTTTGGGGTTTTTAAAGTGGCTGGATGGACCAGTTTTATGAGTCAGCCACAAGCCTACAGTTAGATTTGCACGCCGACACTAAATGACATTCATTCCATCTGCATAACGACCACAATGCTAGTGTGTCTCCTGGCCATTACGATGCCTTTCTACCTGATGTTAAACACCATGGATGTTCTTCATACAAGATACTTTCCTATTGCTGATGGAAATTTTTCAATGCTAATACTTCTATAAATTACCAATAGAACAGAAGTCATCCATAGGGACTTGGTAGAATTAAAATGAAAATTGCTATAATAATACAACCCTACACTGTTTCTTCTTCTAACTCTCATCAAAACAGAAAGGATTGGGTAACTCTTTGTACATAACTTGATTTTGATATTATTTTTACCCCATTTTGTTGCAACAGCGCTGTGTAAAGGTTCAAAACACATCAGAGGGTGTGTCAGTCAGGTGGGAAGCAGTGTCCCTGCATGCCATTAAGACCGACTGACTGGCAGGCTGACTGACGATCCTGGTTAAACAAACAGTGTCACACGTACTCACTGGTGAACCTCTTGCACATTGTCCGTCTGCTTGTCTGCTCCTTCGTGTGTTGATCTGAGTCATATTCACACTTCATTTGAACACGCTGGTTACCCTTACTGACTATCTACCCTGGATCCCAAGAAGTTCCATTTGTTTTAACGGGAACACTTCAGTCTCCTGAGGGGTGAAGTGTGAATATCTTTAAAATCCTGCTCTTTTTGTTTTTTGACTGTCCATTTTTCTTTTCTCTCAGCTTTGTTCGTGACAGGAGTAAGACTGGAATCTGCTAAAAACATGTTTCCTCCACCTGCCTCAAGGCCTCATTTAGAGGGTTCATTAGGTTTGAGAGAGCTCACAGCTGGTGTGATGGTAATCAGTTATTCTGACAGGGAAATGTCCACTTGTTTAGTTTATAAATACTTTTTTTAAATATTAGACTTTTGTAAAGTAATGGAACAAAAACGATATTTCATCTGAAAAAATCTGTTTAGCTTTTAGCATTGACATGTGGATTTTAATTATCAATCTAATCAAGTGAGCGTGAAATTGAGGTTTATCAAACAAACATTGTTGTAAATATAATAAATATGGCAGCAGTTTTTTTTCTGTAGTAAAACCTTCATTTAAAGGCAGTCATTGTACCTGTTTTTCAGGCCCCCAGCCCCACACCGCCTCCTTACTGACTTACTGTTTGAGATATTTTTGTCACTATGCCCTGCAGCTTTCTTCCTTTAAAAAAAAAAACCTCAGACATGTGCCACACACACAAGATAAATGTGAACTGGAGATTGCTGGTGGTGATTACGGTGTCACAAAGGAATTTATTGTGAAACTTCTGTCTGTGTTGGTCCCCCGCCAGCACTGGGAGAAGTTTGCTGACAAGCCAGCAGTCAGGCGGTGCAGTTTACTCCGCCGCCAACGCTAACATACCTTTTGACCATTGCTTGAGGTACCCCTTAGTGTAACCCTCTGAACCAAAATGTCTTTATTTGCTGAAATGTGTTCGTTCAGCTACTCAGAATGGCTTCTTAAGACACATCTAATGTAAAGCTTTCTGTGGTTTTTATTCTCCACAACAGCAGAAAACAATATTCATTTATTATTCAATGATTCAAACCTTAACTGTCAGTTTATCAGATAAGTGACAGAAGCCGTGAGCCCCATTATTAAGTTTTACCTGCCTTTTCTGCCTGTGCCAACATCAGGCTGAACAGGTGAGCCTGCCTTCCTGTGGAGCGTAAAGACCTCCGTGAGCAACAATAGGTGCAGAGGCGTGTGCACTACCTGAAGCTTCCTTAAAGTTACCCCAAACAAGATGAGGTTTACAAGGAAGCAAGGCAATAGAAGTGGACGAATAAGCCACAGCCTATTTGGGGGGGATTGTCTGCACAGAAAGTTTGCACCTGAATAATTCAACTCTGAAATAGTTTTTTTTTATGGCAAACCAATAAAGCTGCAAGAAAATTATTATTATTTGTTTTAACGGTCTGCCACTGTTGTTAAATTTTCTAATAGAATGGAAACTAGTTGATCACTGCTGCAAAACACTAATTTTTTTTCTAAAAGGACATTAAAGTTTTCTTTTAAGATGAAGAAAAAGTGATTTGAACTTAAACCATACAAAAGCATCACTGTGGTCCTTTAAGAATTGCTTCACGCTGGCAAAATATTTAAGCTCATTTACCAGATAAAGGGAGACAGTGCCTCTTTGTTCAGTTGTTTGACCCAGATCCTTTAGTACACATGATGTGTTTGTCACACTTGCAAGGCAGAAGAAATAAATGATGCTTTGTTGGCAGCAGATTGCATTTCATCTGCAGGAAGAGCACTTTGTTTGCTCTCATCGCCGTAGATTTCTTTAAGCGAGAAAAGCTGATTCTTGAGTTGTAACACAGCGAGCAGCGTGTACACCTGTATGTTTGCGCGCACACTTGTGGTCTGTTGTCGATGAGTTTGTACAAGCGTGCGGCACTGCCACAGTATGCAAATATCTTGGAACACCCTTGTTTGCTCTTCGGTGTTTGTTTTAAGGTTAAAATATTAACATTAAGAACTGACGATTATTCACTGACGCTACGCTGCACGGGACATCCATAACACCTGAATTTCACCTAAAACCACATGTTAACATGCATTCGCGTCGCATTGAAAATAAATGCACGGGCGCAATCAGACATCTGGGAAAAGATGTGCAAACGATGAACGGCAGAGTGTTGTAATTCAAAATAATAAATAAATAAAAAGGTCTGTGCAAGCTTTGATGTCAAAACTCTGCAAGCAGAGGCTCAGTGTTGACATCGAAGCATCGCCTGCGTTGCAAATAATTTACAGCGAGCAGAAACGCTGCGCACGAAATTTGAGGAATGTGGGCACGGGTTTCAGCTGAAAATCAATAACAGGAAAACTTCATGGCTCTGTCATTTTTTTATTTGTTTGTTTGTTTGTTTGTTTTCCATGTGGAGGGCAGAACTTGAACAGATGAGGTAGACTGAAAGGAGGAGGGAGGCAATTAGTAAGACGTGTGCCCAGAGGCTCGCGGCAACTTGTTGGTGTGTGTGTGTGTGTGTGTGTGTGTGTGTGTGTGTGTGTGTG